CCCCAATTGTGAGTGGGTGGGGTGAGGGTCAAACATTCAAGGAAGATCAGAGGAGAGGTCAGGGGGGTGTAACCTAATGCCTGAATTTAACCGGCTTGTATCTGCATATATATAGTTGATCATTAAACTCGTGTTTACGGCGCATTAAACCTGTGTTCCCTGTACTCCGTATATGCTGTGTACATCACATATATATGTACATATATTATAGTTAACATGTAAACATATATATGCTAGATTGTAGATTTAACAGATACTAGAAATTTATCACAAAACCATTCTTTCAAATACTAAAGTCTTTTTTCATTTTTGAATGTTTTTAACCACAACTCGTATTCTGAAGAGCTATTGGATGTTGCGAAGTAAACTCTACCGGGTAAAATGAAAACTAGGAGTTACGAGGTCTACAGTTCGTTTCAATAAGTCGGCATAAATTAAGCACGTTCTAATTTTAGGATAAAAGGTCTATATAGATATTATGTACTTTTCTTTAATAGTTTGAAAATTATAATTCACAATTGTTTTAAAGAAGTTCCAGGAAAATATTTGATTGAAAAACTTGTAGAATTTTCCCATTACGTATGACACTTCGATGGAATTCTTTTAAAAACCAACTAGGATGGGGAGGGGGAAGCTAATAAAGATATAATGGCATTTAATTAGAAAAAATTTAGTACATTCTGCTAAATTATGACAAACATTTTCAATTATAATAGAATAACAATAGAGATTTATAGATAAGAAGATTTAAAAAAGATAGTAACGATACAATTTTCTATACATCCGTTTGTTTGCGAAAAGTATCATTTCAAATATATTTTGTGAAAAGTTTTCTCATCAAATCAATTTTATAAAAAGTATCATCATCAAATCTATTTCATGAAAAGTATTATCATCAAATCCGTTTAATAAAAAGTATTATCATTAAATTTTTCATTAAAAAAGTATCATTATCAAATCTTTTTTATAAAAAGTATCATCATCAAATCCATTTCATGAAAAGTATTATCATCAAATCCGTTTAATAAAAAGTATTATCATTAAATTTTTCATTAAAAAGTATCATTATCAAATCTTTTTTATAAAAAGTATCATCATCAAATCTATTTTATAAAAAGTATAATCATTAAAGCTATTTTATATAAAGTATCATTATCAAATCTATTTTGTTAAAAGTATCATCATTAAATATTTAATAAAAAGTATGATCATCAAATCTTTTCTGTAAAAAGTATCAACTTCAAATCTATTTTATATAAATTATTATCATCAATATATTTACTAAAAGTATCATCATTTAGTAGTGTATGGAATGAAACCCTGCCTTCCTCATTTAAAATCAATGACTTGGACAAACAGAAACTTTTTTTCAAAAGAAAACAATTAAGTATTTTAAACACTTTAACTTGTATTATTTCACATTATTTAGGACAAAGCTAATGTTTTTTTAGGGGAGGGAGATTTGTTGCCAGTAATCTAGGGAAGGGGGGGGGGGTGCATAAGTGGGGAAAAAATAACAATGAAAAGGCTTAGCTAGGTGTAAATTTCTGTGGGAAAGTAGTTTAAAAACTTGAAATGGAATAAAAGGATGTTGGACTTTGCGCAATTATTTAACCATCTGATCATAAATTTTATAAAAAGCAAAAATATACCTGATGTCTTGCAGCTACCGCCGCTGCAGCCGCCGCAGGATTCATCCCCGGCCTGAGTTTTGTCAAATAATTGAATTTTCTATATTTAAAAAAAAATTTTATTTCATTTTGTTCCTTAAAGTAAGTTTAGATCTTGTTAAGGAATTAATAATAAAAAATGGCGAAAAAATTTCTTTCAAAAGAAACTGAATTTTTATTATTATTATTTGACATTCCTTAGAGGAAAACGCTCCACGATGAAGTTTTATAAGTCAGGGTTTAGATCTAGAATTTTATCTTTTTATCCGGGGGGGGGGGGGCATCAGTATTTACCCACCAGTTATCTATTTATGTTAATGGCTCAATGAGCTGGTACAGTGGGTAACTAATTAGAGTCACGAACTCAAGATAATCACGTCATTTTTGCACGGTTTGGCCGCACATGTATAGATTGCAAACGTTTAGCACTAGCTCCGCAGTAAACTCACTCCGCAATTTTGCAGTTTGCACAGTTTATTTTGCACTTTATTTCCAGAGAATTTATTATTGCAGATTTGTGTGCCGGGGGGTCAGGGACTGTTTATTACTCCGAGGTTCGGACGGGAGTGAGAGATAGACAGAGAGAAAGGGAGAGAGAGAGAGAGAGAACAATCTCACACTCTGACACCGCTCTCCTCCCATTACAGCTAACCCTCGACAGATAAATACACAGATAGATAGATATTAGATAGTTACACCCGCTCTCTAATTCATGTGTTTCTGCCTGTCAACATGACCCCACCAGACACAAGGGGGGAGGACTCTCTCCGGGGGTAAAAGAGGGTGGGTGGGGGGATTAAAATGAAAACTGTACAATAAAAACCTGAAAATTTATATCTCGAGTTTATCAAGAAAAGCTTTTTTTTTAGTTGATTTCTTCTAAAATGTGGCGAAGCCCCCCCATCCCCTCCTTAAACTGAAAAAGATCTACGTACCGAGACATCTTTCCGTCTTAACTTAACCTTTCCCAGGTTCTATTGTAATCTCATTAAGTTGCTCTTTTTTTGAGATCTAGGAATCGGGTGAAAATTTTGATAAAATACGTTCTTTTTAAACCATTCTCCCTGCAATAAAAGATCTGGTTTAGGGCAATTGTGTACCTTTTATTTTTCTTATTTTTTTGTTTATTGTTCCGAGGAAAGTTTGCTGGTTCTAAGTTTGGATAGTTTTGTATGGAGTGTTTTATGGTTTTAGATTAAACTTTCTTTCATGGTCTACTATGTGAGTAATAATAGTTGACTTTCTTAAAGGGACTGTAAAGGAAAATTGAAAGGGGGTTTAGGCTGAAACCTAAGATTGGTTGCGTAGTTGCTGAATATGATCTATTTATAACTTAGATTATTATACCAAATATTTTATATACAAGTTTTGGTGTGGATTTGAAACAGTTTTATATCAATTTCTCGAAAAAGGAACATTTTATAGGTCTCGATCAACTCCTGAAGTTCTCAGGTTTCAGCCTATACCCCCTTTCATTTTTCCTTTACAGTCCCTTTTTATGAAGCTTGGGCTTTTGCCCCAGCCGGGCCCGCGTATACCCAATCTTAAAAACGTTAAAAATAAATATCACTAGCGTCGTATTTAAAATGAAAATGATGCATTTTACATGAAAATAAGTTTGATTTTTTTTTATTTCGTTAAGAATACAATTTTTGTTGTAAATTATATTATAAAACTATAATTTGCATTTGCTCATTATAAGGCTTAAAGTGTTTTTGCCTTATTATCTGTAAGAATCATATTAACTTTATTGATTGATTGATAATCGTTTATTTCTTTATACCTAATTACTGGTATCTTAAATCACCTAACCTTAGTCTAAATAATTATCATGTAGTAAGTAGACTACGGAATTGTTCAAATCATTAAAATCGTATACGAACATCGCTTAATTGATTAATGTTTTTTTCGCTGTTTTTGTTAATTCTGCGCACATGCCGCTGATTTTTAATTAACCATTTCCGTCGTCATTAAAATCACCCTAAAGGTGTCACGTAGTGTAATGTCTACCCCTCTTTCTTTGTTCGGATGTGTGAGTGTCTGGATATCCCCCCTCCCCCCTCGGCCCCCTCCCCTCTTCATATACAGTAATAAATAATATAAAGTGGAAAGATTGTCGCCTGCTCTCTTTCTTTTAAATAGAAACGACAATCTTCAAGACTTTATGCAATACTATCATAAGCAGGGGCGGATCCAGCTCTTTGAAAAAGTGGGGGGGGGGTCAACTCCCCCCAAAAAAACTGTGATGGTGGGGGGAGCACCAAGCGAAACTTTTGAACGAGGTGGGGGTGCATTAGGGTGGAGCCCCCCCCCCCAAATTTGTTTGGAAGTTTCAATGAGAGAGAGTATTTTAAGTGGTTAGAAGAGCAATATTAAAAGAATATATCAAGGATAGGTAGAGGATATCCATTTTAAAATAAAAATGGCTTCCTCAAATTAGGGTTTAAGATGAAAAATGTAAAAAAATCACTAGTATAATTAAACAAATTGTTAAAAGCATTTTGATAGAGGCAGTAGTAAAATCTGCGTGAAACCAGAGTTTAAAACAATTTAAAGAGTTCAAAAATATTAAAAATTGAGCAAGCTTTGGTCAAAAACTTTTTTCTATATCTAAATTTTTTTACTAGTCAAAAAATGTTTTTTTTTGCATTAAATCGGTAAATTTTTAATATTTTTATATTCTGTAATTAGATTTGAATTTAGGAAAACAACAACCTATTTTCAAAAATACCCATTTCATTTGTTTTTTTACATTTTTTATCACTACAACCCATTTCAGGGTGCCTTTTCTGATTTTTGTAAAAGTTGCATTTTTAAAACATTCCGAGCAGAATACAATCTGCTTCTGTAAAAAGATTTCTGAAAAATTTCACAAAATTTCACTGCACCCTTACTATCGTAATATTAGCTGTAATATTAGCTAAAAACTATGATGTGTTTCATGCAATTCTCAAATCATAATATAATTAATTTTCAAAATAGGAAAGAAGCAAATACAATTACTTAAAAATTGGTTAAAAATTAGAATCTACCAGATTGATTTAAAGTAAAACTATCATGATTTATCAATAAATTAAGAATTGTTTTGTCATAGCCACTTAAAGTTTTTGCTGGAAAACAGTAACAGTGAACTTTTAAGTTAGTCTCTAGAAAAGGGGGGGGGGGTGGTCAAAAGATACTGTTGACCCCTTGACCTCCCTCTGTATCCGCGCCTGATTTAATGTTAAATCCTGAGTATAACTACTGAATGGCAGCTTAATTGAGACAAGGGAAAAAAGGAGGTCAGAACAATAAATACAATAGGCCCAGAATACGATGCTATCGTTTGCACTAATGTCCGATTGAACTAACGTACTTTTGCACTAAAGTCAGCTGATCAGTAACACTTGTGGCCGCAGCGCCCGGCCCCCTGTCCTAGCCGCGGCGCTCGGCCCCCTAGCCTGTCCTAGCCGCAGCGCTCGGCCCAGAAATTGTCTTAACCTAACCTAACCCTCAAATTAAAACGTTAGTGCGATTTTATATCGAGCTGTTTGGTTTCTTTAGTAGGGCCCCACAGGAAAAATATGTATTGGCGAAACTGGTCAAAGAAAATTGAGCCAATACATATTTTTCCTGTGGGGGCCTATTAAGAAACCAAACAGCTCGATATAAAATGGAGTACCGTCAGCAAAGCATGTATAATCATATGGTAGGGCGAACCGCGTCAGTTGTCTCTCCCTTCTATTCCTTGCTCCCTGTAAGACACCCTGAATACCTTGAAACAATGTCGTCTTTATTCATTTGTTTGCTGAAGAAATTTTGCTTAAGATTTTGTAAGTTGCAATTATGGTGCCCACAAAGGAAGAGAAAAGTTTGATTTGCCAGCTGTGTTTGATAAACTCGTTTTACGGAATATTACATCTTCTCGCAAAGAAAGAAACGTGTTTAAAATTATGAGGTTAACCCCGTGCTTGTCCGTTTTCAGCCATCATGTTTAGTAGGACACACTGTATATTCTCTTCTTGGCAGCAGATATAATCCCCCTCCTTTACCCTTCCTTTCATTACACACCCTTAGCAGTATTCCCCCTGGTAGACTATTATTTGTTTCCCCCACATATATTCATTATTCCCCCCCCCCCTGGGTTGTTCTATTTACTTGTGAATAGTTTAATTGCTTAGTTTATAATTCCCGCCATTAATAGTCTTAATATACAGACTAGATTAGTTCAGGGGGGGGGGGTGAGAGGGGAAACATTTTTGTAAATTGATTAATATTTTTGCTTGGCAGTTGGCACCGAGCTAGGGGAACGGGACGCGCTATAGTGTTTAAACCTGCAGTAAACTATCCATTCTTGTACATTCACATTGCATATATATGACATGTGAGAAGCATATACCGATTAATTATTATTCAAGAAGTTTGCTTTGTATAGTGTATACAGATTTACAAACTGTAAATATCCATGGACGCCTGAACGAAGATCCCAATACCTTTAAGGACCTTCACGAACTGAAGGACCTAGAGAAGCTCGAAGGACCTGTAGGATATATATGAAAGCCTTGAAGGCTAAAGAAAATAGAGGATCTGAAGGACTTGAAGATTCTGAAGGACTTGAAGGATCTGAAGGAATTGAAGGATCTGAAGGACTCGAAGGATCTGAAGGAATTGAAGGATCTGAATTAAGGAATAGAAGGATCATCTTAAGGACTTGAAGGATCTGAAGGACTGGTAGAATTTTAAGGACTTCAAGAACCTCAAGTTCTTGAAGGATCTGAAGGAACTATGAAAGAAAAATACAAGATTTAGAAACCTAAAAAAGTACATAAAATTAGAAAATTAGAAAATCCCTTGAATTTATATCGAATTTTGAATTAATGATGTAGTTTCTTTTATTAGGAAGTTAATACCCCCTAATATATCCGAATAAAAACTATGCATGGAAGGGGTGGGGNAAAAACTAGAGGGGAACCCATCATTCTTCTCACCCTATCCATCAATCACATACACACACATGCACACTCAAATACACACAACATTCTCATTACATTCATATTTTGCAGTGACATTTTTCTCTAAATCGGTTCATTCATATATTTGCTGTTTCCTCACAGTTTGGCAATTTTCCGCACTTACTTGTTTTTTCCGACAATTTCAAGATTTAATTAAACAACTAAACTGTTTTAAAATGATTCTATAAGTTTCCCAGACAAATTAACCTGTTTCAAAATACCTTAACTGTTTTATAGATAATCTCACGGTTTTCCAAACATTTAAAATGTTGTCAAACAATTTAAATGTTTTCCAAACAACTCAACTGTTTCACAAACAACTTCAAGGTTTTCCAAACAACTAAACTGTTTTACATACAATCTTAATGGTGTCCATTTTTCAAGGAATTCCTAACACCTTAACTGTTTATAGACAATCTTAGAATTTTCCAAAGAACATATTTTACTCTTAACAGTCTAAAGTTTTCCCAAGCAACTCAACGGTTTCCAAACAATCTCAAGGCTTTCAAAAAAAAATTTTAAACCCACCCGAAGGCTTTCCAAACACCTCAACTGTTTTCCATACGATCTGAAGCTTTTCTAAAACAGCTGTTCTAGCAGTTCTAGCTGTTCCAAACACCTCAACTGTTTTCCATACGATCTGAAGATTTTCTAAAACAGCTGATCTGTTTTCCACACGATCTGAAGATTTTCTAAAACAGCTGATCTGTTTTCCCAAACAATAAATATTATACTTTTTTAAGTTTAGGCAAATTTTTATTATATTTGAATCCTCTAGCTGTTCAGGCCAAAATTCTTATTCAAATTTTAAATCAAAAGTTTTTAGAATCTACTTATAAAAATTAAAAAATCTGCGAAATCCTTGTGTTTAAATCTTATATTTATTTATTAAGAACAATATTTTTACAGGCATTAAAAATTATCACTAAAGTTTTGCGCAATAATAATAAAAATAAATTATGATAAATTTATAAATTACGTAATTCAAAGAAGGCCTGTAAGAAATAAAAACACTAATAACAACCTTGATGCAAGGAAAAACAAACAAACTATTAAAGTTTAGCACCGGCCTGCTCAGGCCCTTATCGAAGTGCTAATATTTCTGTTAGCTATTTTTTAAAAGATAAGAGACGAAAATTAAACACAGATTCGGGAAACGTAAATAAATTTTAAGACAGATATCTGAAAAAAAAACTTTTTGAAATCTTGAGTCAAATCTTTTTAAATAGTTTTCTCCCAGTTCTCTTAATTGTCCTGGTTCTCCTAGTTTTTCTAA